ACGGGAGCAGCCACGGCCCAGGCGAGTGGCAGCAAGGCCCAGTGTCATCGCACGGGTGTTTGTGGAGCACCTGCCACGTCCCTGGCACTTCCTGTCTTCCAGAGGTCTGCGGATGACTGCTGAGCAGACAGTCCACTCAGCGGGACGGAGCTTACACATCCCAGCCCCAGGACGGCCACAGGTCTGCTTGAGCCAGCCAGGCAGGCACCTATTAAACTCCTACTATGTACCCCATCTTCTGCAAGGCTTGGAAGGGAAGGAGGCCTCAGTGCTGTCTGGGAGCTCCCGATCTGGTTAGGAAGTCAGGACCACGCCCCAGAGACAAGCAGACCCAGGAGCCCAGGTGGGGGCTGGAGAAGATTTGGAGGGAAGGGAGCCCAGCAGAGGAGATGGGGTGGGACCCACCTCGGAGATCCTGCCCTCCAAAGTCAGTAGTTGCCTGGGCTTTTACTGAGAAAAGCTCTCTGTGTTCTAAGACCTAGGCGAAGCCAGTTCACTGCTGTGTGCCTCAGTTTCCCCATCTGTTAAATGGGGGCAATCAGTCCTACCTTGGAGGATTAAATGAGATGATGCATAGGGAAAGCCTGCCCCACACAGCAGCAGGTGCGCGCTAAGCACTAGGTAAGGCTGGCCGATAATATTACAATGTTTTAAATCATCCTGGTGTTTCTAGTTCAGTTTGCTGACAGCTTGGCTGAGGCTGAGCAGGGCAGTCTCTGAAGAGTGGGAAAGTCATCAGCATCCAACCCCCGGAACCTGCCGGCTGGGAAGGTGAACGCCATCTGCTGCGACCGGGCAGCTCAGGGCTGGCAGAAAGGGCATGTTCTGTCCACATAACCGCCAAAGCGTCCAGAATCCGGGACCAGGTTTTAGTTCACATCAGCTTCCAGAAGGAGCTTTGGGACGGGGCATCCTTGAAGGCAACGGAGGGACGGCGGGGCTCTGGGGGAGGCAGGGGTTCGGAGGGGGCCCCCTCGCCACCCCTGACGGCGTCCTCCTCGCCCTGCCAGGCCAGGGCCAGCTGCAGGTCCAGCCCCTCCAGGTCCTCACCGGTCAGGCTGGGGCGCAGCTCCCGGGGGGCATCCTCCTGGTCTGGCTTCGGGCCAAACGCCCAGTCTGCGGCAAGGGAGCTGGTGAGGCCACTCCACCCTTCTCTGTCCCCTCCCCGGCTAGGAGAAGCCCTTGGATTCCCCAACCACCCACCCGGGGTGGCCCGGCACCTGCCAGGCCGGATTTCGGTGGGGGCAGCTCACCAGCTAGGTCGTGGGCGAGGTCTTTGATGAGGTGCCCGACAATGGCATAGGCGACGGCCAGCACGACCAGCGTGGCCAGCAGCAGGTACAGCACATACCGGGGCAGGCGGATGGTGTCCAGGGGCGGTGGCCGGTACTCCTCGTACAGCGGCGGGGACGGGCTCCAGCCCTCGGCCCCCTCCCAGGCCGCCAGCCCCGGCATAGTGTCCGCCTGGCACCGGGGAGGCCCGGAGGTGACCCACACAGCGGAAGTATTAAGGGGCTTTGGGCTAAGAGGATTGGACGGCCGCCCCATGGTCACCATCTGCCTGGGTTAATCACACTGCCAGTCATTTCCGCCCACCGGCAGCCTACCTGCCCAGCTCCAGCCACGACTCTGCCACCTGGAATGCCCTGCCCAGATTCCCTCACGGCCGGTTCACTCTCTCCATTCATCTTTTTTCTTCTTCTTCTTATTATTATTTTTTGAGACAGAGTCGTGCTCTGTCGCCCAGGCTGGAGCGCAACGGCAGTCTCGGCTCACTGCAACCTCCACCTCCCAGGTTCAAGTGATTCTTGTGCCTCAGCCTCCCGAGTAGCTGGGATTACAGGCGTGTGCCACCACACGTGGCTAATATTTGCATTTTTAGTAGAGATGGGGTTTCAGTATGCTGGCCAGGCTGGTCTCGAACTCCTGACCGCGTAATCCACCCGCCTAGGCCTCCCAAAGTGCTAGGATTACATGCATGAGCCACTGTGCCCGGACTTTATTATTTTATTTTATTTATTTTAATTTTTTTAAGATGGATTTTCACTCTTGCCACCCAGGCTGGAGTGCAATGGCACAGTCTCGGCTCACTGCAACCTCCACCTCCCAGGTTCAAGTGATTCTCTCGCCTCAGCCTCCTGAGTAGCTGGGATAACAGATGTCTGCTAATATTATATTTTGTGACAGAGTCTGTCTCCCTGAGTGCTACAGTGCAGTGGTACGATCATAGCTCACTGCACCCTCAACCTCCTGGGCTCAAGCAATCCTCCCGCCCCAGCCTCTGGAGCAGCAAAGATTACAGGTCCTCCCCACTGTGCCTGGCTCTTCACCCATTCATGGATTGTGTATTGAGCAGTGACTATAGCCAACCACTCTGCCAGGTGCTGGGACACAGCTATGAATAAGAAAGACCAGGCCGGGCGCAGTGGCTCACACCTGTAATCCCAGCACTTTGGGAGGCCGAGGTGGTCGGATCACCTGAGGTCAGGAGTTCGAGACCAGTCTGGCCAACATGGTGAAACCCTGTCTCTACTAAAAATACAAAAATTAGCTGGGTGTGGTGACAGGCGCTGTAATCTCAGCTACCTGGAAAACTAAGGCAGGCTAGAGAATCACTTGAACCAGGGAGGCGGAGGTTGCAGTGAGCCGAGATCACGCAACTGCACTCTAGACTTGGCAACAGAGCAAGACTCCATCTAAAAAAAAAAATAGGGCTGCCAAGACATCACTGAGGAGGTGACATTTGAACAAAGACCTGAAGGAAGAAGGGAACCAGCCACAGAAGAACCAAGGGAAAGAGAATTCCAAGCAGAGGGCATAGCCTGTGCAAAGGCCATGGGGCAGGACTGCGCCTGGCATTTTGGAAGAACAGTGAGGTCCTGCAGGGGCCATGTAGACCGTAAGGAAGACTTGGGCTTAGACCCTAAGGGAGGTGGGAGCCATGGAGGGCTGTGGGCAGAGGAGGGACAGGTCCTGACCCAGGTGCTCACAGGTGCCCCCTGGTGGCTGCTTTGGGGGGACAGACTCTGGAACGAGGTGGAGGGCACTGAGCTGCTCCCAGTGGGAGAAAAGTGGGCAGATTTGGGATTGATTTTTATTTCTATTTATTTATTTTGAGATGAAGTCTCACTCTGTTGCCCAGGCTGGGGTGCAGTGGCACAATCTCAGTTCACTGCAACCTCCGCCTCCCAGGTTCAAGCCATTCTCCAGCCTCAGCCTCCCGAGTAGCTGGGACTACAGGCATGTGCCACCGCATCCGGCTAATTTTTTTTATATTTTTAGTAGAGACGGGGTTTCACCATGCTGGCCAGGCTGGTCTTGTGAACTCCTGACCTCAGATGATCCACCCGCCTCAGCCTCCTGACCTTCTGACTCCAGGTGATCCGCCCCCGTCAGCCTCCCGAAATGTGGGGATTACAGATGTGAGCCACTGCACCCAGCCGCCATTCTTTTTTTTTTTTTTTTTTTTTTTTTAGACAAGGTCTTGCTCTGTCACCCAGGCTGGAGTGCAGTGGTGGGATCTTGGCTCACTGCGCCTTGACTGCCCAGGCTCAAGCCATCCTCCTGCCTCAGCCTCCGGAATAGCTGGGGCTACAGGTCTGTGCCACCACACCTACCTAATTTTCTGAGTGTATTTTTTACAGAAACAGGGTCTCACTCTGTTTCCCAGGCTGCTCTTTAAGTCCTGGGATCCAGCGATCCTCCTGCCTCAGCCTCACAAAGTGCTGGGATTACAGGCATGTGTGCCGCCACACCTGGCCTTGGGATAGATTTTTCTTTTCTTTTGAAGTGGAGTCTCACTCTGTCACCCAGGTTGGAGTGCAGTGGCACAATCTCGGCTCACTGCAACCTTCGCCTTCCCAGTTCAAGCGATTCTCCTGCCTCAGCCTCCTGAGTAGCTGGGATTACAGGCGCACACCACCACGCCCGGCTCATTTTTGTACTTTTAATAGAGACGGGTTTCACCATGTTGGTCAGGCTGGTCTCAAATTCCTGACCCCGTGATCCACCTGCCTTGGCATCCCAAAGTTCTGGGATTACAGGCGCACACCACCACATCCAGCTGATTTTTGCACTTTTAATAGAGACAGGGTTTCACCACATTGGTCAGGCTGGTCTCCTGACCTCGTGATCCGCCTGCCTCGGCCTCCCAAAGTGCTGGATTACAGGGGTGTGTGCTACTGCACCTGGCCTTGGAATAGATTTTTCCTTTTTTTTCTTTTTGAGATGGAGTTTCACTCTTGTTGCCCATGCTGGAGTGCAATGGCATGATCTCAGCTCATCACAACCTCTATCTCCCAGGTTTAAGCGATTCTCCTGCCTCAGCCTACCGAGTAGCTGGGATTACAGGCGTGCACCACCACACCTGGCTAATTTTGTAGTTTTAGGAGAGAAGGGGTTTCTCCATGTTGGTCAGGCTGGTCTTGAACTTCCGACCTCAGGTGATCCTCCTGCCTCGGTCTCCGACGATGCTGGGATTACAGGCATGAGCCACCATGCCTGGCTGGGATAGACTTTTCATTGACCAAATCTGTGTTTTTATACTGCCTGGGATGGCAGTGAACCCATTTGCTGAGTTAGGAACACCGCAGAGGAGAAACCCGGAAAGAAACACAAGAAATTCCAAGCAGCCAGGGCCCGGGGAGCGAGGACAAGGCAGTATCAGGTGGTGGTGAGGGAGAGTGGGTTCAAATCCCAGTTCTGCCCATCCCAGCACAACCTCTGCTGTCCGGGGTTTGGGGTTCTCTGAGTTTCTCTCTACAACAGGGTTGGTAAAATTTCCTGCGGTGTTGGGAGGAGGAAATACAATGATGTCTAAAAGTGTGAGACTTGGCTGGGCTCGGTGGCTCACGCCTGTAATCCCAACACTTTGGGAGGCCAGGGCAGGTGGATCACGAGGTTAGGAGTTCGAGACCAGCCTGGCCAAGATGGCGAAACCACGTCTCTACTAAAACTACAAAAATTAGCCAGGCACTGTGGCAGGTGCCTGTAATCCTAGCTACTCGTGAGGCTGAGGCCGGCGAATCGCTTGAACCTGGGCGGCAGAGGTTGCAGTGAGCGGAGATCGAGCCACTGCCCTCCAGCCTGGACGACAGAGTAGACTGTATCAACAATAGCAGCAAAAAAAAAGTGTCAGCCTTATCACGGCCCTGCACCCCAGCCTGGGTGACAGAGTGAGCTTCCATCTGAAAAATAAAAAACTATGAGCCTCGCCAGCCACCGTGGCTCACGCCTGTAGTCTCAGGGGCCTGGGAGGCTGAGGCAGGAAGATGGCTTAAACCCAGGAGTTGGAGGCTGCAGTGAGCTAAGATTGTGCCACTGTACTCCAGCCTGGGTGCCAGAGCCAGATCTTGTCTCTATAAAGAAGGGGGTGCCGGCTGGGCACGGTGGCTCACACCTGTGATCCTAGCACTTTGGGAGGCTGAGGTGGGTGGATCACCTGAGGTCAGGAGTTCAAGACCAGCCTGGCCATCATAGTGAAACCCCATCTTTAAAAGCAAAAAAAAGAAAAAGAAAAAAAGAAGGGGGTGCTCTTGTATTATATTTGAGTTTTGTTTTTTGTCACAATAAAGTTTATGATGAAAACAGGCTGGTGTGGGGACATGGGGACAGACAAGCACATTTAAGTCGGGGGGTCAAGTCCTCCACGGTTAGAGTGTGCTTGCGGTCCCTGCTCTTGCTCCGGGAGCTGCCGGAGCCTGTGCCCTTCATTTTGCAGTGCTGTAGGGCATCACTGGCAATATCTGAGATGAATTTCTAGGCAGCTAGGAAGATGAGCCGAACTCCGCGTCGGTCTGAGGCGTCAAAGCCGGCACAGTTCAGGCGGTAACCAGCCACTGCATCTGGGATCGTAGGCGTGTCATCCTCCAGCTGCATCGAGAAGTCCACCAGAGGCGCGCTGGACACCAAGGGCTTCCCGTCTCCGTGGGCCGCGCTGGGCAGTACGGAAACCCCGTTAAACATGGCCCCCTCCAGCGGCGCCCCGGCCCGCGCCGCCAACGGCCCCGTGCTCCCAGCAGCTGCTCCAGCCTCAGTTCCCCGTGGTGTCCCCGCAGGGCTGGCCTTGTTCTCCGTGGCGATGCTGGCGGGCAGCGTGCCGGGAGCTGACATTGGCGCCGCCTCGAGGTCGCCGCCGGAGCCGGTGCAGCTCATCGGGCCGGTGGGCGAGGCGGCGAACAGAGCCGCTTCCGCTTCCGGTCCCGCTCGCGCTTCGCACACCCCCGGGGTGACGTCACGCACCCGCGACGCGCGACGCCTGTCCTGTTTGTTTTTGAGACAAGACTCAGGGTCTGTCTCGTAGGCTGCAGTGCAGTGGCGTGGTCTCGGCTCACTGCAACCTCCTCCTCCAGGGTTCAAGCCCTTCGCCTGCCTCAGCCTCCCGAGTAGCTGGGATTACTTTCCGGGGTGTTTTTGTTGTTATTGTTTTAAAACTCAGTCTCCTTCTGTTGCCCAGGCTGGAGTGCAGTGGCGTGATCTTGGCTTACTACAACCTCCACTTCCTGGGTTCAAGCGATTCTTTTTTCTTTTTTTAAATTGCATTTTAGGTTTTGGGGTACATGTGAAGAACATGCAAAATTGTTGCATAGGTACCCAAGCGATTCTTATGCCTCAGCCTCCCGGGTAGCTGGGACTACGAGCGTGCGCCACCACACCCAGCCAATGTCGGTAATTTTAGTAGAGACAGGATTTCACCATGTTGGCCAGGCTGGTCTCCAACTCCTGACTTCAGGTGATCCACCTGCCTCAGCCTCCCAAAATGCCGGGGTTATAGACGTTAGCCACTGTGCCGGGCTTTTTCCTTTTTTTTTTTTTTTTTGAGACGGAGTCTCGCTCTGTGGCCCAGGTTGGAGTGCCGAGGCGATCCTGCCTCACTGCAACGTCCGTTTCCCTGGTTCAAGCGATTCTCCTGCCTCAACCTCCCAAGTAGCTGGGACTACGGGCGCGCGCCACCACACCCAGCTAATTTTTGTATTTTTAGTAGAGACATGGTTTCACCATGTTAGCCAGGATAGTCTCGATTTCCTGAACTCGTGATCCACCCGCCTCAGCCTCCCAAAGTGCTGGGATTACAGGCCTGAGCCACCGCGCCCGGCCGTTCCTTGTTGTTTTTAAAAAATTACAGCTGATCTGATGGATAAAAAGAGGAAATCAATGAGGCTGGAGAGAAAAGGGCGAATGGCTGAGGGGACGCCTGTGAGTTGACGAGAAGGACCAGGAGCTGGTAAACCAAAGAGGTGGCTCAGGCAGCCAGTGTCCCATGGAAAGGGGTCAACTTGGAAGTGGCTCCTTCAGCCCCCAGGGAGCCTTCAGATGAGGCAGCCCCGGCGACAGCTTGACTGCAGCCTCGTGAGACACTCAAAGCCAGAAACATCCAGATATCCTGCTCCCCGACTCCCGACCCACAGGAAAGGTATCTTCTTTCCTCTGTCTCTGGTGGTTTTCTTATCCCTTTTTTTTTTTTTTTTTTTTTTCATGGAGTCTAGCTCTGTCCACCAGGCTGGAGTGCAGTGGTGCAATCTCAGCTCACTGCAACCTCCGCCTCCCAGGTTCAAGCAATTCTCCTGCGTCAGCCTCCTGAGTAGGTGGGATTACAGGTGCCTGCCACCACACCTGGCTAATTTTTGTATTTTTATTTTTATTTATTTTTTTAGTAGAGACGGGATTTCACTGTGTTGGCCAGGCTGGTCTTAAACTACTGACCATGATCTGCCTACCTCATCCTCCCAAAGCGCTGAGATTACAGGTGTGAGCCACCACACCTAGTCACTTATTTATTTTGTTTTTTAAGAGATGGGGTCAGCCAGGCGTGGTGGCTCATGCCTGCAAGCCTACCACTTTGGGAGGCTGAGGCGGGCAGATCATGAGGTCAGGAGTTTGACACCAGCCTGGCCAACACAGTGAAACCCCGTCTCTACTAAAAAATTTTTTTAAAATTAGCCGGGTGTGGTGGTGTGCGCCTGTAGCCCCAGCTACTCAGGAGGTGGAGGCAGGAGAATTCGCTGGAACCCAGGAAGCAGAGGTTGCAGTGAGCCAAGATAGCACCACTGCACTCCAGTTTGGGTGACGGAGCAAGACGCCATCTCAAAAAAAAAAAAAAAAAAAGATGGGGTGTTACTATGATGCCCACGCTGGTCCAATACTCCTGGACATAAGCAATCCTGGCTTGGCATCTGGAGTAGCTGGGACTGTAGCCATGTGCCACTGCGCTCAGGTCTAGTTTTCTGTCTCTTAAAAGGACACTGGTTATTGGATTTAGGGTCTACCCTAAATCCAGGATGATCTCATCTTGAGATCGTTAAGAACACCTGCAAAGACTCTCTTTCCAAATAAGGTCACGTTCATGGGTACCAGGGGTTACCACCCGGACAGGTCTTTCAGGGTGACACGGTTCGACCCATGTACAGCTGTTTGAAGCTGCCGAGTCTGGGGTAACTTAGGTAAGTCTTGGCTAGCGGAACCAACAGTTCATCAGCCAGCATGAGCAGGCGGAAGGAGAAGCAGCATGCACGGCCCAGGTGCAGGCGGGCAGGCATGGCTGTCGGTGGGGGCGTAGGCAAGGTCTTTTTGGTTTTCTCACTGAGGCCGAAAGCAAGGTCATCAGCCCAGTGAGGATGAGGGAGGTTGGAGGTCAACAAGAAAGTGACAGAGGGAACAGATGGCAAGAGAGAGAACCACACAGACCCATAGTAGAATGGATGCTGGATGCTCAGGAGGCTGAGGTGGGAGGATCACTTGAGCCTGGGAGGCAGAAGTTGCAGTGAGCTTAGATCAAGCCACTGCTCTCCACGCTGGGCAACAGAGCAACATTCTTGTCTCTAAAACCTAAGTTGGCCAGGCGCAGTGGCTGCTGTCTGTAATCCCAGCACTTTGAGAACTGAGGAGAGCAGATCACTTGAGGCCAGGAGTTCAAGACCAGCCTGGCCAACATGGCGAAACCCAGCGTCTACTAAAAGTATATAAATTAGCCAGACATGGTGGCACGCACCTGTAATCTCAGCTATTCAGGAGGGTAGGGCACAAGAATCGCTTAAACCTGGGAGGTGGAGGTTGCAGTGAGCTGAGATGGCACCCCTGCACTCCACTGTGGGTGACAGAGTGAGACTTTGTCTCAAAACAGAACAAAAAAAAAACATATTGAGACCCCATCTCTACAGAAAATACAAAAATTGGTCAGGCATCATGGGGAAAACCTGAAGTCCCAACTACTTGGGAGGCCAAGACAGGAGGATCGCTTGAGCCCAGGAGGTCAAGGCTACATTGATCAGCCACTACACTCCTGCCTGGGCGCCAGAGCAAGAGCCTCTCCACTTAAAAAAAAAAAAAAAAGGCAGGCCAGTCGCACTGGCCCGCGCCTGTAATCCCAGCACTTTGGGAGGCCGAGGTGGGCAGATCATGAGGTCAAGTGTTAGAAACCAGCCTGGCCAACATGGTGAAACGTCATCTCTACTAAGAATACAAAAATTAGCTGGGTGTGGTGACATGTGCCTGTAATCCCAGGTACTCAGGAGGCTGAGGCAGGAGAATCCCTTGAACCTGGGAGGCAGAGGTTGCAGTGAGCCGAGATCACGCCACTGCACTTCAGCCTGGGCGATAAGAGCGAAACTCCGTCTCAAAAACAAAATAAATAAATAAATAAAAATAAAACCTATAATCAAACATGTGACTTTCAGGCCATTTCTCAACCTCTGCACTCATTTGGGGCTGGATCGTTCTCTGTTGTAGGGACCAAGTGCTGTAGGGTGCCTTCCAGCATCCTTGGCCTCCTCCCAACTACCTGACTGGATGTCCCCTGCTCACGCCACCCCCAACCCGTGACAGCCAAAACTGACGCCTGGGGCGGGACCCAGCGCCTAGTGGAGAAATGGCGCTCAGCCGACGGTCGGAAACAGCAGTGGGGAAATGGCGCTCAGCGGACGGTCATTTCCCACCGTCTTGCCTCCTGCCTTCTGGTTTTGGTCTCTCTGGCTGCAGACCAGCAGCTGTGCACCTGTGGTTCTACTGCCGTGCCCACTTTCCGGAGAGGTAAGTGGGCTGTCCCCGCCGCACACGGAGCAGCTGCGGGAGCTGGCAGGGGACGCCACGGCTGGGCTCTCAGCTGCACCGCAGCACCCCTTCCTCGGCACCCACAGCAGGAGCAGGGGGAAGATGGGGGTCTGAGGGCTGGAGGGCGGGTTCCCCAGAGCCCCCTTGTAGGGAGTTGACAGGGCAGATGTGACTGGGTAACTGCCTGTGGCTGACGGTGGCAGGCCTGCCCCCATTTCATGTGCAGTTTCATGGCTCAGTGTCAGCGGCAGGACAGATCCTAGAGCAGTGGCTACAGATACAACCCCCCCACCGCCCCGACACCACACACTCTCGGGGAGTGTTCCCTGAGAGTGCCCACCCCTCTGTCCCTCCCACACTCCCCTCACACCATACACGCGGAGGAATCACTGCTTGGCAAAAATAATTTAATACTCCCTCTGGGCAGCACTCTGGGGTGTCGTCCCTCCCTGGCCCCTGTGCCCTGCCTGACCCACTCAGGGACCAGCACCCCATCTCTACCCAGGCCTGGGGGGGTCAGAGACCCCCAGACCCTGTGCCCCATTCCTAGTGAAGATGGAGCTACCGTAACTAACGCCAGCCTCTTCCAAGTGCCCCAGCTCTGCCCCTGCCTTCCCTCAAAATCCTCCCTCCTGTCCCGAGCCTGGCATCTCAGCCTCCCGCAGTCACCTCTGAGCCTGGAAACTTCCATGCTACAGCCCTGCACTAGGACCCTGGGAGCTGCCAGGGGATTCAGGCAGTCACAGTGCAAAGGCAGCCCCTCAGTCCCAGATGGAGGGAGGGGACAGCAGCCCTGTGCCCAGCAAGACACGTGATGACACCCGATTCACACACACCCGGTTTAGACACCAAAGCCCTCCAAGCCCTCTGGGGAGGAGCGGCCCTCAGAGTCCTCGGGGAGCCCAGGGCGGGGGGAGGGGGCCCCACGAAGCTGCTCCAGGCCGTCAGCGTACTGGAAGGCCAGCCCGGTCTCATGCTCGTACATGTCCAGAGCCACCTCGCAGCTCTCCCGCACCACTCGCTCGGGGTCGCCCGCGTGGGCCTGCAGTGCGGCCAGGCAGGAGGGCCGGGCAATGGCGCCCAGGGCCTCTGCGCACTCGTGCCGCACCATGGGGTTCTCGGCGTGGCGGGCCAGGGCGGCTGCCAGTTGGGGCACCGCCGCCTCATGCTGCAGCTGTCCCAGGACATAGCCGACCTCATGGCGGAAAAGGGCGCTCCCACAGCGCAGGCCTGCAGGGGAGAGGAGTGGGAAGGAGAGCTCTTTTCGTTAAGACGTGGGGTCTTGCTATGTTGCCCAGGCAGGTCTCCAACTCCTACCCTGGCTGCCCAAAGTGCTGGGACTACAGGTGTGAGCCACCATGCCCAACCTGGGGTGGTCTGTCTGAGGACACCCCCTGCCCCTAGACCCAGTGATCAGGGCTGCCCAGGGGAACTGAGCGGAGCTATGGGGGCAGACAGGAACACCTGCACGGGTAACAGGCCCCATGGGAAAGACTTGGGGCCGGGCCTGGCACGTTCCCTGGGGCAGTCCGCAGCCCCGTGGCACAGATGCCATCAGTGGTCTTCCCAGGGAGGCACCACCCAGGACCCCACCCCAGGAGCCCCTCCTCACCCTCAGCCAGCGCCAGGGCGGCCGCCTCGCCTCCTGCATTGCGCAGGGCGAACATGGCGCGGTATCGCTCAAACAGCGGCCGGGACTCATCCAGCAGCGCCTCCCGCAGGCGCCCCACATCACGCTCCTCGGCCGGTGGGGCGGGGTCCACAGAGAGGTAAGGTCCTGCCGCTGGCTCCCCGCCATGCTGCTGCAGCCACTCCAGCCTACGCACAGCCAGCTGGCAGGTCTCGGCCACCTGCGGGGAGGGGGCATGTGAACAGCGGTAGATCCTGGGGAGGCTGCAGGGGCCCTTTGGTCCCCCCCAACCCTCCCATGGCAGCTTAGCAGGAGAGAGAGATCACTTCGGGCAGGAAGTAAGCCAGCAGGGGTGGCTGACTTGCCAGTGACCAGGGAAGGCTGGAGGGGCTGGGGAGGACCTCAGGGAGGAGGTGATGTGGAGGCAGAGACTAGAACCAGCTGAGGGAGGGAGTCAGGTGGAGACCCGGGGATGGGGAAGCAGCTGGCGCAAAGGCCCTGAGGTAGGACCCCGTGGGAGGGGTTAGGGCTGAGGGGACAGGCAGCGGCCAGGCCTAACTAGGGAAGGCCTTCGGCCACAGTGAGGACTCAGAATTTTGTCCTAAAGGTGATGAGACATCGTGAGAGCCTGAAGCACAGGACAGAGGAGCAGAATTCAGTGTCACACGTGCCTCTGCTGCCCGGGAGGAGGAGAGACCACGGGTCGGGGTAGGATGTGGATGAGAGGCGGAGGAGAGAAAAGAACACGCGTGTCCACACAAACACGTGCACACCCACATCCGGAGCAGCACGACTCACAACAGCCAAAAAGCAGAGGCAACCCAAGCATCCAGCCACGGTGAGTGGATCGACACAGCGTGGGCCGTTCACACTACGGAACGTGACTCAGCCACGAAAAGGAACAATGGGGCCGGATGCAGTGGCTCATGCCCATAATCCCAGCAGTTGGGGAGACCGAGGTAGAAGGATCACCTGCACCCAGGAGTTCCAGACAGCCTGGGCGACAGAGCGGGTCCTCATCTCTATAAAGAAAAAAAAGAAGAAACAAATTTTTATTTTATTCTTTTTTTCTTTACAGAGATGAGGTCCCGCTCTGTCGCCCAGGCTGGAGTGCAATGGCGAGATCTTGGCTCACTGCAACCTCCACCTCCCAGGTACAAGCAATTCTCCTGCCTCAGCCTCCTCAGTAGCTGGAATTACAGGCGCTCGCCACCGTGCCTGGCTAATTTTTTATTTTTAGTAGAGGCGGGCTATCGCTGTTTTGGCCACACGAGTCTCAAACTCCTGACCTCAGGTGATCCACCTGCCTCTGCCTCCCAAAGTGCTGGGATTACAGGTGTCAGCCACAGCACCTAGCAATAAAGCTGTTACTTTAAAAAACGAGGAGAAATGTCGGAAGGCAGGAGACCCCTGAAGCGGTCTGGTGGGCTAGTGCCAGGCATCGGAGGTAGACATCACTGGGTGGGTTCTGAGGGGTCTTGGCAGAGGGGCTGGACGTGGGGGTTTAGAGAAAGGGGTTCAGGCCGGCTCAGGGGCTCAAGGCCCGGGATGGAAGTGCGTGCGCAGAGCTGGTTGTCACCGTTTTGCCAAATGGGCCACAGCAAGTGTCCATCTGGGTTGTCGCCCTGGCCTCCATCCCTGGGGCATTCTTGGCCAAGTGGTCGCCCTGGCAACCAGAGATGGGGAGGGTGTGAGGCTGCTCCAGGCCAGGGCTGGGGCAGGGCGGGGCTTCCCAGGGACCTGAGGCAGGCAGGGAGACAGGGGCGTGGTTACCTCGATGACGGGGTCCGACGAATACTCCTTCAGGAGCTCCAGAACTTGCGGGTCCCCGATGGCCCCCAGGGCCTCCCCTGGGAAGAAGCCACCAGAGAGGTCACGTTGGTGGGCTGGATGTCGTGGCGGGATGTGTGGGACATGCCCAGCTACCTGTGGGACCAGAGGACACCCCTCCCACAGCTCTGCCCCTGTGGGGAAGCCCCGCCTCTGGCCATGGCTGATTGGAGCAGCAGTGGGTACAGGCTCCCCGCTGGACCAATCAGCATCCCCTCCCCGGCGCGAGGCAGTGCCTGGAACCGCGTCAGGCTGCTGCTCAGAGCAAAACACACCCTATCTGGCCCCGCGCCATGAGATGGGGACACAGTATGTCCCTACAACTCAGGGTAACAGCTGACAAGCAGCTCCAACAACCCAGGAGGTCGGGGTTGCAGTGAGCTATGATCACACCACTGTACTCCAGCATGGGCGACAGAGTGAAACCCTGTCTCAAAAAACAAAAAGCCGGAAACAGGCCAGGGGTGGCCGGGCACGGTGGCTCACGCCTATAATCCCAGCACTTTGGGAGGCTGAGGCGGGTGGATCACCTGAGGTCGGAAGTTTGAGATCAGCCTGACCAACGTGGAGAAACCCCGTGTCTACTAAAAATACAAAATAAAAAAAATCAGCCAGACATGGTGGCATGTGCCTGTAATCCCAGCTACTCTGGGGGCTGAGGCAGGAGAACTGCTTGAACCCAGGAGGGCGGAGGCTGCTGTGAGCCAAGATCGCACCATGGCACTCCAGCCTGGGCAACAGGAGCAAAACTGTCTCAAAAAACAAAACAAAAAAACCAGGCCAGGGGTGCCAGCTGGAGACTCCAGAGTTCAGGGCCACTGAGGGTACACTTGGGTGGGTTCGGATGCAGGCACAAGCGCAGGCGTAGCACGCCCAGGTCACAGCAAAGCTCTCTGCAGAGCCCTGGGTACCGAGGTTCCTTGGATTTTCTCAGAATCAAGCTCACAGGCTCTGCCTGTGGGGCAGCTGAGCGGGTGGCTTTTACCTTCCCTGAAGGTCGCAGTTGGCATCTGGGCACCTGCCTGGCAGGCACCCTCTGCCGGAAAAAGTCTTGCGTGCACCAAAACATGCTCTGTGTCAGGCACCTCCCACACACTAATTGTAAATGAGCTTGCTGGTTACAGAAACACAGTCCCCATGGCACAGACGCACCTCCTGTCTGACTTGTTGGTTTCCTTTGCTGTCTAGCTCCCTTACTAGAACAGTCCATTTTTTGAGACAGTGTCTTGCTCTGTTGCCCAGGTTCTAGGGCAGTGGCACGATCATGGCTCAGTGCAGCCTCAACCTCCCTGGCTCAAGTAATCCTCCTGCCTCAGCCTCCCGAGTAGCTGGGACCACAGGCGTGAGCCACGGTGCCCGGCCTGTATCTGTGTTGTCACTGTTTTGTCTCTTACATACATGACAGAGCCTGGCATACAGTAGGTGCACACTAAATGTGTGTCCAATGAGTGGAGTAAACCTAATATACATTAGGGGTTGGGGATCTACAGCTTGTCACCTGTTTGTTTTCATATGAGTGAAGAATGCTTTTGGAACTTTTAATAGTTTAAGGCTGGGTGCAGTGGCTCTCGCCTGTAATCCTAGCACTTCAGGAGGCCAAGGCAGGTGGATCACTTGAGGCCAGGAGTTCAAGACCAGCCTGGCCAACATGGCAAAACCCATCTCTAAAATACTAAAAAAACAAAAATTAGCCAGCGTGGTGGCAAGCACCTGTAATGCCAGCTACTTGGGACGCTGAGGCAGGAGAATCACTTGAACCCGGGAGGCAGAGGTTACAGTGAGCCAAGATAGAGCCACTGCACTCCAGCCTGGGTGACGGAGCAAGACTGACTCCAAACAAATAAATGGTTTAAAACAAAAAACCAAAGGGATGACACTTCCTGATGTGTGGAACTTACATAAAATTCAAATCTCAGCATTTAGAAAAGAACTTTGTTTTCTGCCGGGCGCGGTGGCTCAAGCCTGTAATCCCAGCACTTTGGGAGGCCGAGGCGGGTGGATCACAAGGTCAAGAGATCGAGACCATCCTGGTCAACATGGTGAAACCCCGTCTCTACTAAAGCTACAAAAAATTAGCTGGGCATGGTGGTGCGTGCCTGTAATCCCAGCTACTCAGGAGGCTGAGGCAGGAGAATTGCCTGAACCCAGGAGGCGGAGGTTGCGGTGAGCCGAGATCGCGCCATTGCACTCCAGCCTGGGTAACAAGAGCGAAACTCCGTCTCAAAAAAAAAAAAAAAAAAAAAAAAAGAACTTTGTTTTTTGGTTTTTTTAACATATACGATCTCACTCTGTCGCCCAGGCTAGAGTGCAGTGGAGCAGTCTCAGCTCACTGCAACCTTGACTTCCCAGGCTCAAGCGATTCTCCCGCCTCAGCCTCCCAAGTAGCTGGGACTACAGGTGTGTGCCACCATGCCCAGCTAAATTTTGTATTTTTTTTAGAGACGGGGTTTTGCCATGTGGCCCAGGATGGTCTTGAACTCCTGAGCTCAAACAATCCACCCTCCTGGGCCTTACAAAGTGCTGGGCTTACAGGCCTGAACCACCGCCCCCAGCCCAACTGAGGTGGTCTGGGCTTGCAGCCTCAGCCATTCACTCTCAGACAACTTGACTTGCGCCAGCTTTATCGAGTGGCTGTCTGGCTGCAGAGCTGCCGGTATTTGCTGTCTGGTGCTTTATGGGGCAGTTAGGTGACCTGACATTTATCAGGTCCCTGAGTGAGTACAGGGACACATGGGGTCATGAAGAGGTGAGACAGGAAGGAGCAGGTGCCCGGGACAGACAGGCACTCACCTGCCTCATGGCGCACCATGGGCTCCTGACGGGTGTCTTGCAGCACGGCCACCAGCACGGGGATGGCGCGGGCATCCTGCATCTGGCCCAGGCAGTAGGCCAGCTCGTGCTTGAGCAGGGCGGAATCATCACCGAAGGCCTGGCTGATCCAGGCGATGGCACCCGGACCACCGAGCCCGCGCAGCGTGAACAGCGCCCGGAAGCGGGCGTGCAGGGGCTGCGTGGGGTCCACCAGCATCCGACCAATGGCCTCCACTTCCTGCTCCGTCACCATCGTGCTGTCAGTGGGCCCCAGCCTTCCACAACCCAGGCTAAACCTGGGCACACGGTGGTGTAGGAATCTATGGCAGAAAAATGAGAGTCCAGGTTAGAGGCCCCCTTCGCCAGCTTGTTGGCTTGTTCCTAGGACCCGGGCAGGGCAACTTCCTACCCACTGACCCACCTGACCATCTGGGTTGGAAGCCCAGCTCCAACCCCACCTATTAGCTGTGCAGCCATCCATAAATTGCTTTCCCTCTCTGGGCTTAAGTCTGTGTACCACCTCTTGCCCATAGGCCTGTCAGAAATGACCGCCACTGTCAGCTTTCCACACAGCAGCCAGAGGGACAACTGACCCCCAAAATGGCCCCAGTGATCCCCACCTAATATTCATGCCTTTATGTAGCCCCCTCCCACTCTGAACAGGGCTGACCTGTGTGAATGTCAAGAAGATAGAACACAGCGACACTTCCAAGGTTAGGGCATAAAAGGCACAACAGTCTCGTCCTTGCTGTCTCTCTAATGGAAGTCAGTGGCCATGTTGTGAGGATGCTCAAGCAGCCTTTTGTAGGGGCCCACATGACAAAAAACTGAGCCCTCCCACCAACAGCCATGTGAGAGAAGTGGGCTGGCAGCAGCTCGTCCAGCCCCGGGCGAGCCTTCGGATGATGCAGCCCAGAGTGTCTCCACTGCGGCCTTACCAGAGGCCAGATCCAGAGCCAGCCAGGCCCGGAGCAGCAGTGTGCAACCGTGTTCAGTGTTGTTTGTTTCCCAGGTTCAAGCAGTTCTCCTGCCTCAGCCTCCTGAGTAGCTGGGACTATAGGCATGTGCCACCACACCCAGCTAATTTTTGTATTTTTAGTAGAGACGATGTTTCACTATGTTGGCCAGGCTGGTCTTGAACTCCTGACCTCGTGATCTGCCCGCCTCAGCCTCCCAAGGTGCTAGAACTACAGGCGTGAGCCACCACGCCCGGCTGTTGTTATAGTTGGGCTCTTTTTCTGAGACAGGATCTTGTTCTGTCACCAGGCTGGAGTACAGTAGTGTGATCACGGCTCCCTGGAGTCTCAAACTCCAAGTCTCAAGTGATTCTCCTGCCTCAGACTCCTTAGTGGCCAGGTCCACAGGCATACACCAGCATGCCCAGCTCATTTTTTTTTTTTTTTTTTTGTAGAGATGGGATCTCACTTCTCACTATGTTGCCCAGGCTGGTCTCCAACTCCCAGGCTCCAGTGATCATCCTGCCACAGCCTCCCA